GAGGAATGAAGTAGCTATCTGATAGTGGCAGCACCTTCATCCTATTTGTACTGTTGTCCTGCTGTTGCTTATGCAACAAGGTTAAAAATGGGTGGAATTAAGATGGCATGGTGCAATTTATTTATTTATTTTTTTTTTTAATTTTTTATGTGCATTTGTCTTTACTTCAGAGTAGCTTGAAATGATATATATATGATGCATTAATTGTGTGTTGGTGGATTCGGAACCATGTAAGGGTACCAATTCCAGCCATTCAATTCACTCTAGATTGGAATGGACTAATTCTGCTTGTTTTCTGTATGAACACACTGGTTTTGGAAAAGATAATCTATCCACTGCTGGGATTGGCAACCGCACATGGCGAAATCAGAGTAGTTTTAAAAAAAAAAGGCAAGCATCTTTAATTCCGCCCAATCCAAGGTGGGTTGTATGGATGGAATTAATAACACCACGTTATGTGTTTAGCATGCCGATTGGAGAGGATCCGAATCCTGTGTTTTTACTGCATTCTGCAGTGCGACGGTAAGCATTTGGTTCTAGCATGTTGGAATTTTCTTGCGTTTTCATATTATAAACCTGAAAATCCTAGAAAAGTTTGGAGAGCAGAAGCTACACGTTATGAAGGTGCTTCTGTAGTTGCTTATGCGGCCAAGTTGAAAATGGGGGGATTCTAGAACGTGTTATCCCCTTTATGTATTTTTCTTGATTAATTGTCTTTTTTTTTTAATTTATTCTCCTTTTCATTTGTGGAAGGTTGTTTATACCCTAGGCTTTGTTATGGAGGATATTATATATGTTGTGATTGGTCCTAGATTTGTTGATTATACTTTCTTGAGTAGTCTCTTGTGCTACCATTAGGATCTTGTTTAGTTTTTTTTTGTGTGTGTGTGTGTGGGGCTATTATGCTTCCATTAGAAGTTTATAAATAGTTACTACAGTTTGTAATAAAGAAGCAAGCCATTAAGTAATAAATCTTTTCTGTTTTTTAGTTCTCTGCCCCCTCTTTCCTCCTCTCTCTCTCTCTCTCTCTCTCTCTCTCTCTCTCTCTCTCTCTCTCTCCTCTCCCAAGAAGCTCAAGAGGAAGAGCTTCTTCTTCAAGAAGATTCTAACAGGCGGTATCAGAGCAAAGTGGAGGTAGAGGAAGTTTTCTTGTCAAAGAAAATGACTCAAGAGGCGGTAGGGAGTTCTCAGGCGGAGACTAGCTGGAGTCGGGCTGTGCTTCGTAAGTTTAGGCATGCTCCCAGGAAGCAGGGCGTCTAGAGCCCTTAGATTGTGGCGTTGGCCCCGCAGGACTCGATGAAACTCGTTTGCGAGTGTGGCTCTGAGCGCGGGAGACCTGGTGCCACTATCGGGCTGAAGCGAAGAATCGCACAGACAGATGGGCGCAGGCAGAGCGCGTGGGAGCGCAGGGCATAGAAGACCAAGCGAGAGCGTACGACATGCGATAGGGGGTGGGGTTCGCGCGGGTGAAGGTGTATGCGTGTGGAGCGCAAGGACCAAGCGTAGTGCGTGGGTTAGCTGGCATGAGGGATTGCTAGGCATGGTAGGGGTTGACCAATGCAGTGTGGCAAGGGAAGTCGTAGGTCGTGAACATAGTGCAAATGAGTGGAACGCATGGGGTAACTGAGCACGAGCTAAGCTAAACTCTTAAATATTGAGACGACTTTTAGTGTAATGGCTAAAGTTTTCGTAAGAAACTCTGCAGTTAAGAGTGTTAGTGTTAATTCCGGAGCAATTTTGAGATGGGTGACCAACTGGGAAGTTACACCAACAGGACAAAATCGTGAAGCTCTTAGGCCAAAGCAGACAATATCTCGATAGTTAAGAGTTTGGGCTGTTATAAATGGTATCAAAGCAATACACCAGTCGTAAAATGGAAACTAATTATCATACTACCATGGGAGCCACCTCTTGAACACTGTATGGGACAAAGTGCTATATGACAGGAGCCACCACTTATAGCAGGAGCCACCACTTGAACTTATAGAGGCCACCTCTAGAATCCTATCTATCTAATGGATGATTCTGGGATAAAGATGTTGACGAGGACGTCAGTTATTTAAGTGGGGCAGATTGTGAAACCTCTTAAGTAAAAGAAGTTAAACTCTTAAACATCGATGCACCTTTTAGCGTAATGGCTGGAATTTTTGTAAGTAACCTTGCAGTTAAGCTTGCTCATCCCGAAGCAATTATGGGATGAGTGACTTACTAGAAAATACACTAACAAGACAAAATCGTGAGGCTCTTAGGCCAAAGAGGACAATATATTGATAGTTAAGAGTTTGGGTTGTTACACGTGCTCAGTCCGTTCTCATAAGGTGGAGCAGACGATTAGAGTTTGAGTCATGCAGGCAAAGGTTGCATAGGTGAACAAGTGAGGGGCTGCAGTTTTTTGCTCCAGTGCAGTTCTTACAGTCAGACTAGGATGGCAGATGAAATTCTTACTACAAGTTCTTGACCATATCGATGCAAAAATTCAAAATCGATAAGTTTACTGGTGAAAACGATTTCGGCTTATGGAGAATCAAAATGAAGGCCCTCCTTGTTCATCAAGGAACCTCTGAGGCGATTTTTATAGAAGATATTGTTGCCATAACTGATAGGACAAGGGATAGGCAAATCCAATTGAAGGCTGATAATGTAATTCTGTTATTACTCAGTGATGAAGTTTAGAGGGAAGTAGCCGAAGAGGGTTCTATCATATAAGTCTTGGAGAAATTTGAATCATTATCGATGGCCAGTTGGTTATATCTAAAGAAAGCTCTATATACATTGCATATGGATGAAGGTAAAGATTTGAAAAAACACATTGATAAATTTAACAAAATTATTCTTGATCTTAATAATGTAGATGTAAGAGTTGATGAAGAAGGTCAAGGTATTATCCTCCAAGTTCTTTGCCAAAGTCATATGAAAATATAGTTGATACATTACTATATAGAAAATAAATGTTGACCATGACCAAGGTAAAGTCAGTGTTGGTGTCCAAACAACTGTAGCGTAGGAATGAAGATAAAGAAGAAAGTGTTGGCAACATTCTGATAGCAAGAGGAAGGCATGAGTACAATAAGTAATGTTTCTACTATCACAAAGAAAGTATTTCAAGAGAAATTACCCAAATTTGTTGAAGCAGAGAGAGTTAGGACCAAAGACGACTTCAACTTAGCTGAGACAATAAATGGAGTCATATGGAGTGACTCAAATGTTTTGTAAATCTGGACCAAGGTGAAATTTGTTGTGATTGGTCTAATATTTGTTGATTGTACTTTCTTAAGTTAGGTTCTTGAGTTGCCTCTTGTGCTACCATTATTATCTTGTTTAGTTTTTTTCTTTTTGTAGCTATTGTGCTGAGTCGGTCTACTATGGAAGTCATACATTTATTGAGAGGTTTGATAGAGAAATATAGAGAGAATAAGGAGGATCTACATATGATATTTATTGATTTAGAGAAAGCATATGATAAAGTTCCAAGAGAAGTTCTTTGGAGAGTTCTTGAAAAGAAAGGAGTTAATAACGCTTATATTCAAATCATTAAAGATATGTATGCAGGAGCTATTACTTGTGTTCAAACACAAGGTGGTTTGACCAAGTATTTTCCTATTTCGGTTGGATTATTACATCAATGATCATCCTTAAGCCCATATCTTTTTTCTTTAGTCATGGATGTTCACCCTAGACATTTGCAAGAGAATGTACCTTGATGTATGCTTTTTGCATATGAAATTCTTCTTGTTGATAAGACTAGAAAGGTAGTCGAAGGTAAACTTGAATTATGGAGGTCAACCTTAGAGTTTAAAGATTTTCTCTTGAGTAGATCTAAAATGGAATATATGGAGTGTAATTTTAGTAGGAATAGATCTAGTGAGGGGATTTTGACTTTGAGCGATAAATCATTAATAAGAGTACACGTTTTAGACATATTGGATCTATTGTTCAGAGTAATGGTGAAATAGATGGGGATATTATCAGTAGAATTCAAGTTGGATGATTGAAGTGGAGGAATACATCGAGCTTGTTGTGTGATAGAAAAGTCCCCCTCAAACTTAAGAAAAAATTCTATAAGATGGTGGTCAGACCTGCAATGTTTTATGGTGTCGAATGTTGGTCATTAAAAGAGAAGCATAATACTAAGTTAAGTAAAAAAAAAAAAAACTAAGTTAAGTGTTGCAGAGATGAGGATGCTCATGTGGATGAGTGGCTTTACCCTTAGAGATAGGATACGAAATGAGCATATACGTGAAAAGGATGGAGTAGCTCCAACGGAAGATAAGATTAGAGAGTCGCCTTAGATAGTTTGGTCACATAAAACGGTGGCCTTCCGAAGACCCGGTGAGGAAAGTAGAGGTATTAGATTGACTTATGTTAGAAAAGATAGAGGTAGACCTAAAAAGATTTGGTTATAAAATATTAGAAATGATATTTCTTTATTAGATTTAAATGAGAATTTAACTTTTAACAACACATAGTGGAGAAAAAGGATTCATGTAGCCGACTCCTCGTAGTGGATCAAAGGCTTTATGTTGTTCTTGTTATTGTTATAGCTATTGTGCTGCAATTAGAAGTTTATAATAGTCCCTTTAGTTTGTAATAAAGAAGCAAGCCATTAAACAATAAATCTGTTCTGTTTTTCCCTTCTCTCTCTCTCTCTCCCGCTCCCTCTCCCTCCTTTCCCAAGAAGCTCAAGAGGAAGATCTTCCTCAAGAAGATCCTAACAATATATGTAAGCAAATTAATTTTTTACGCTTGGATGTCATGGAATGCTACTTAAAATACTCTACTTAATTTTGGTTTGTATAGGGAAATCATTTAAATCAGTTATTTTCTTGCTGGCAATGCCTTTGTTCTGCTATAGATTTACTCATGAACTACCTTTTTTTTCAGACACAAGTAATTACAACTGAATGAATCAGTGTTTCGTGGGAGTGTCTGCTGGCTTTGCTGATTTAGATATTATATGACCCCTTTTATGTTTCTGATTCTTTTTTTTTTTTAACACACAGGTTCAATGAATATGTCATGGATGGTGGCCCAGCAGCTCAGACCTTTAGATCCAAATATAATATTTTCATAAGACATGTTACCACTACTCTGGGAATGGAAGTGCCTAAAGATGCAGTGAGCATTTTTCCTGTCATTTCTCTTATTGAAACAGATGCATCATCCTATTCTTAATTTGTGCATTTTTCCTTTAGGTCAAATATATTGTTAGTGCTCATATTGTGCTGAAAGGAATTGGAGGCTTGCTCTTCATCTTCAATAGTTCATTTGGAGCTTATCTGCTGGTACGTAGTTCAATCTTCTTTTGCCTTGATTTTATAGCTTACTGTATTTTGGAGAAATGATTGCAAGCAGGCCTTCTATACTCTTACCACTCTTTTAGCTCCAGCAAAACAATAACAAATGATAGGTGGCATATGATTTCAAACTTAGATTAGTTTTGAAGTCCACTGCAATGATCATGATTGAGGACATTGATGGTTTTATATTCTTGCAGCTTTTTCATTTGGCATGGACTGCTCCGATAATATATGATTTCTACAATTATGACATAGAAAAGCCAGAATTTGCACAACTGTTTGTCAACTTCACACTGGTTTGTTGTGTTTTCTCTTTTCTTCATGTGCTTATCATGGAAATGATGAATATAAGGGTAACTTGTTATCCCTAAGCATGAGATTTTGGAATTTGCTTCAGAATCTAGCTCTCTTTGGTGCATTGCTCTTTTACCTGGGAATGAAGAACTCAATACTAAAGAGGCAAGGAAAGAGGAGATCCACCAGACCAAAGACACACTGAAGTGAAGATAGTCGCCTTTACAACATCATGGTCTGATACTCTGATTATTGTTGGTTTCATGATACTGGTTGGTGCATGGCTGATTTATGGAACTCGTTTACTGCTCCCAAGGTAATCTGGGTATTCTATACTTGTGCTATAGACCGTCCCTAAGAAGTACAGGTAATGCTATAGGCCCTTTTTGATGTACAACGAGCCATTGCAGAAACATGACATGTTTGTATGATTAGTTCATTAATAATATTTATATATTGTTTTAGATTTGCTGACTCATGTTGGTATGGTCTATGCCAAACATAATATTGTGGGCTTTAAAAATTCTCGCGCCCCGGCCTCTCCTCTTCCATCTATTTTCTTGTTTGTGATGGAGGGTTTTAATGAGCTTAGATTCCAATTGGATTTTCATAAGGCATATTGGATTTTGGATTAAACATTACTCAGAGATTTCACCTCATTTTGTGAGGACTTTATAATCTGAGTTCTGGTTTCCTATAGGCGCAAGCCTCTATAGTTAATTATCCTTCTCGATAAGGAGAGAGAACTTTCGATTAAGGCTAGTCATGAGATAGGCATTGAGTACTCATATAATAGCCACAACTTTAGGATTTGACTTAAAGTTTATCACCATAAACTTAAAACTGGTGATGGGGAATGAAGACGAGTCTGATCAAGATCCCATGGTTCCATCGTCCCGGGCTATCATGGTCCCTGGTCTACTTAGTCAGAGGAGGTAGTCGACCCAACCTGATAGAAGGCGCACCTTATCGACAACCATGAGTTGCTTTGTCTAAGAATATCTTGTAGACGTTAGGTGGTGTTTGTCTAAAGGGATATATCTAAATCCACCTGAGCTTTCATAGGGCTTTATGCCTATCAAATATACCCTATAATTCATTAGTCAAGGGTTTGACATCATTAGGAAACATACGGGCTTTAGCCGTGATCGTAATAAAATGGTGCTATTTTACAGCAAAACCACCCGATCAGAGGGCACTTGTCCCTGCTAGCAAGAGATTGTTTGAGAATGAATATTAATGATACACCCGACACGACATTTGCTCTTTGTGAGCTAAGGTTAATTTCAAATTTATCACCCTTGACAGATGGTTGCGGGAGGTGGATGAGTTTTAGTTTTAAGTTTTTAAGTGATAAACTTTATTTTAAGAATTCATATTTTTTCATAGTTTTAAGATTTGACCCCTCCGGTTGAGATTCCTTATCAACACGGCCATCATCATAGTGACGTTAAAGTCACTTGTATTTTCGTAGGAATTTGGGAGATGTTTTAAAAGTTTGTGGTCTCCCCGGCTGAGATTAGCTTTCAATATGACCATCATCCTGGTAACATGATTGTCATTTGAAAAACATTTGTATTATGTAGCACCTTAAGAGGTCCTATAATTCTAGTTAGGTCGATCAAGGAGGATGATGAAACTTGAATATTTGACCCGTGCAACATTCTCTGGCCGTTGGATGTAGGAATCATATGTGACAATCGGAGTACATGCGGGTGTATTTTTCAAACGTATTTTCAAGTATATTAATACTTATACACATGCATAATGTATTTTACATTTTACACATGAATGACCTATTTGTATTTGCATGTGCACAGTACATTTTCTCACTATAACACATTATTGTATAAAGCATTTTATATATGTAATTCATTTACGACACTTGAGTATTATATTAAAATCAGTTTGATGGTGTGAATGATATGCTTATGTGATCATTATCAACGTCTCTATCTACCACCAAAGCTATAAGGTCATTTTCTTTTTATCATTGCAACCTAAGTCACTTGCGTCAGATGATCTTGTAATTATGCTATGATAACTTAATTCAATAGCAATCTTCATATTTCTTTCGTCTTCTATAGACCTATTTTTCTCAATTAGGGTTTGCAGTGAGAATGGCTATGTTGATTTGTATCTAGATGGAGGCTTACTCAAGGAAAAGTAATATTTGGTATATTTATACATTGGGTTGTAATGTTGTATTATTGTGATTAATTGGGTGTAACAGTTTTAGTAGATAGCTATATTGGTTACTATTGAAATTGAATGACTAGCCATTACTGAGGCCAACATGAAGATGACCCATCTCATAGCTTTCAGGAAGAATTTGATAGGCCACAAGAGAGTACTGCACTCTATTGTGATTGTCAAAACATCATCATTTAGCAAATAATGACACTTTGCACTCTCAAACGAAGGACATGTAATTCAAATATCATTAAATAGCTTGTGATTTGTGAACAATAAAGGGACAGAAAGCTTCTTGGAGTCAACAAGAAAAGGTAGAAGGCATTGCAAAGCCTTGATTAGCGACAATGAATGATACCATAGAAATGTCACACATAGAAGTATTTAGACACACATCACTAAATATGTTTGGCTGTCGATGTCGGGTGTTAGTGTTGTAGTTTTAGAATTCAACATATTTGAAAGCATGACTTATTTCTAGGATTTTAGAGGGAACATTTTGATCGTTTTGATAAGAAACAAGGATATTCCATCAGATGATTGGAGTTAATTCTTAATTATTTAGTATTTTTCTCAGCTTCTTAAGGCCTTAATTAATGTACTCAAAATTGAATGATTTTTGGCTTATTAGATTCATTTCTTTGCGATGCTCTTTTCGATCATAAACACATTTGAGTTGATCCCTTTGATTATTCATTATTTTTTGGGCATCTTAAGGCTTTAATGAACTCATAATTGAGTGATTTTATGCGTGTTTAATGCATCTCATCGAGGCGCTCACTTTGATTATAACTGCAGAAATCAAAGGTTGTTTGGTCCTTCAGGCTTCAAGTATATCTACAAAATGTTCAATTGTACTTCTTAAGTGTTTAATTTGGGATCATTTGGGCTTGAGCCTAGGCATTTTTGATATTGTTGGTTTTGAAAGTTCTGTTTTGAAATTAGGAAAAAAAAATTACATTATTCATGATCTTTCTGATGACTGCTGAAATTCTTTTCCTGTGCTTTATTAGTTAAGAACGTCTACTAAACAAAAAAGTACTTTGCTTTTCTAATACTAAACAGACCAAAGAATTCATGAGCTCGAAATTTTCGAGTATGAAATGCACTCTTTCTCCAGTTTTCTTTTGAGTTAGATCAATTTCTTAATCTGCTAAAGAGAACATAATTGTTTTCATTGCGGCTTTATTTTTGCATGCGAGTCCTAAAGAATGATTGATTGGGGAGCATCAAGTGCATTTGAGCGTAGGTCAATGACGGAGAGCAAAAGCCAGGGGTGAAAAGGAGTCAAGTTGAGCTCAAGTCATGCCCAACTCGTGAGCCAAATCCTAAGCTCGAACTCGAATTGAGCTTGAGCTTGGCTCGTGCCAGTGAAACGAGCTCATGTGCTTCCGCAATCTAGCAATTGCGCGCGCTTTGCCTTTCACGGTCCGGCATTCGTATGCGTTTCGCCTTCCGTGCACACTCTTCGCCTTTTGAGCTTTGCTAGTTCGGGACGCCCTCGGTTTGGTTTCTGCGGTCTACTGTTTTGCACGCGTTTAATTGTGCCGCTAGACAATTAATTGAGTCGAGCATCATCTAGATCGAACTCAAGCTCGATAATCCAACAATCAAAATTTTGCTCGAGCTTGAAACTCATATAAGCTTTGACTCGTCAGCTCGTTAATGAATCGAGTTCGAGCCGGCTCGTGAGTTGACTTGACTCGTTTACACCCCTAGTAAAAGCACTCAGCCATGTCTGTATTCACTTTAACTAACTATATACTTAATGAATCTAAAATCTATTCGCTGCAACTGTGTATTTTGAGGGGCATTTCATATAAACTGTTCCTATTCAGATAAAATGATTTTGAAAGTAATAACACTGTTTTTGGTGTTAATATAACATTGATAGGATTAGAAATCTTTTGGGCAATTCAATTCATTTATCTTTCCATTACATTGGAGTTTTACTCCTCTCGTGCTGCCATATTTCTAGCAGAAATCCTTTTCCGTAGATGATACAGATAAGTTATAGATAAATATAATTTCCTTTGACATCCGCATCCTAAAATATTAAAAGATGCGACCGTCAACAATTTGTAATTGCTACAGCGAAAAAGGATAGCTTTCCACTCCCAAAAATGGAGAGATTATTAGGTGCGGAGTGCGGACGGCGAGAACCGTCCGCATAAGCATTGGGTATCTAGCAGTACCCGCACTCGATACTGTTGCGTACAGCTAGGTACTCAGTGCTTGTGCGGACGGTGCGCACTCCGCACCTAATAATTTTTCCCACAAATGATATCAGAGTGCACTATTGAAGATGACTTGCAAATAAGATAGCCAGTGAATAGTCCCATAGCTTCTTCTTCACGCGCTTACTTATCTGCTAATCTACCGCAAAAGCACAAGCTCCGTAAGAGTAAAGCAATTGGATTTCAGCCTTTGTGAATGATAGGATTTTGCTCTATCCAGTCATTAAAAAAATCTTTATTTGTTTGAGAGAGAGAGAGAGAGAGAGAGAGAGAGAGATTAATGTATTTATTACTCTATATGATTGTATATTATATCTAAATCTTTTACATAAATTTAATATACTAATGGATGATTTTTATGTTTTTTGGGCTTGAAATGGGATGATGTAGCATTACTTAAACTTAGTGGCCTTACCCTTTCAACTAGATAGTCATAGACTCATAGCTTAACCAGCTTGCCTACACATAAAATCATCCAATTTAAACACTTAACATCTTTTTTTATTATTTGCTCACATACCCTAGAATTCTTCAAGTAACATCAAAGTACCACTTTTTCTTAGTATGAGTGTTAATTATCATGTTAGCTTGTGCCTTTTTCCGTTGCAACTTTCTCAAACTCTTCTTCATTGGTGAAGGTTTTTAGTGCGCTACCTACCCACCGGTCTTGTCAATAGTCTCCTTATGAGTTCTTCATTGTAACATTCTCTGATATTTTTGTTGTTGAGGGTTTTGGAACTACACAATTCGAGAGTTTTGTGACTTCCTCTATACAAAATCCATTCATTTTTGCCCTTCGTTGTTAGATCTCATAGTGACTTTCTCTTGGGTTAGATTAACAGAGTGGAGTAGCAAATAAATAGCAACTTTAGATGTTAAATATATAAATGAGATAATTTTGAGCATTATGCATGTAAGTCTCTCTTTTTATTCAAAAAGTTGGGCAAAGACGACAAATTCATTTAATATGAAAATGTTAGCTAATAAAATTATGATCAAATTTTTAGTCACCATGATTGAAAACCATCATATTTATTTTAAATC